ACTCCGACCACATCCTTACCCCAAACATCGACACATTGGCCGCCGATGGCGTCGTATTAAACAATTTCTACGTACAGCCCGTTTGCAACCCAAGTAGGGGTGCCCTACTCACCGGTAGACATCCCATACATTTTGGCTTTCAACATAGGGTACTAATGCCTTATATGGCCACTGGTTTGCCCCTACACTTTAAATTATTACCACAATATCTTAAGCAGTATAATTATGCCACACATATAGTAGGTATGGTAGCAATTTTAATAATTTTAATATTTAATTAACTAATATAATATATAAAGCATATTTATTTATAGGAATACAATAGTAATCTTAATTACTATGATAAATATAATATTCAAAACAAAATGTGCAAAAAAGGTTTGAATAATTTTCTACTTGTTAAGGCAAATGGCATTTAGGTTTTATGAACCGTGAATACACGCCTACATACCGGGGCTTTGACTCGCACGTGGGTTATTGGACTAACCGGCAGTTCTATTTCAATCATACCAATTGTGACCCATATGACCGGGCCAGGTAGGTTTTCCATGATTTATCCCCTCATAGAAATGTATTACGTACACAATGTTTTCATAATTTTTTGGATTATCCTGGTCATCCTAGTTGTGGCTATGATTTCCGACATAACATGGATGTCATCACAAACGCGTCGGGAGTTTATTCAACACATTATTTCACCGACAGATGCCTTCATATCATCGGTTAGTAAGAATCGCAACCATTGTTTGCTTATAATTGGGTTTATATTAAATAGTTACATGTATATAAAAAATATCCGGGTTATATTAGAGTAAACTATCATATTTTGTCATTAACTTAGATGAACATAACACATCTGAGCCACTGTTCCTATATATGCCACACCAGGCCCTACACGTGTCGGCTAATAAATTCCCGGTGGAGGCGCCCCAGGAGTACATCGATATGTTTGCGTACATCGAGTCCGATATGAGACGAGGGTTGGCCGCCGCGGCCTACAGTATGGACGAGTCGATCGGTGCAGTTGTCGAGCGCCTACACTCGAGACAAATGTTGGAAAACAGTATAATTATTTTCATGAGCGATAATGGGGGCTGCACAGGCACTGATATCTGTAATTGAATATTTTCAACCTATCTTTTTAACATGGTTTAACTATTTAACTAAATGCTTGTACTGTTTTACATACATTTTTATCTGATAGCAAACGGTGGATCAAATTGGCCGCTAAGGGGAATGAAAGTGGAATATTTTGAGGGAGGTATATTGTATTATCATGACAGTTAATATATATTGATATTTCAAAATTAAAACCAGCATTAATAATTATTATGAACTTATCAAGTAACGTTGTGTAATGCACTATATATTCACTGTTTGTTAGGTATCAGAGTCCCGGCGTTCATATGGAGTCCATTGTTGAATAAAAGTGGTTACGTATCGGACGCCATGATTCACGTGACAGACGTATTGCCCACCATTTTAGATGCCATCGATAACAACACCGGCATATTGAATGAACAAAATATTTATGGTATATTGATATATCAGTGGTATTTATTCAAAATCAGGTTTATATATAAGATATGAATCGAGTAAAGTATGATTCAAAGCAATGAAAAATATTAAAATACATATCCTATATATAAACCTGATTTTGAATAAATACCACAGATATAACATAATAGTTTATTTAGTGAATAATTATACAATCATGTGCCATGTTAATTTGCAAAAGGGAACATAGGGAATTTTATTAAAATATCCTACTTACTAACTTACTGATTTTTAATAATCATATAAAATATAATAATATTTGAAATAGGCTTTTTATCAGTTGGTAATGTCACTACAATTAACTGAAGCAATCATATTAGCTATTATTCATAGTTTATTAAAATGCTTAAATATTAATTTTAAGGTAAATCTCAATGGAGTGTACTATCAAATAATGAACTCCCGGTGCGAACGGAAATCATACATAATATCGATTACTTGACTAATATATCGGCCATTCGGTGGTACGACTGGAAACTTATTCAGGATACCTCATTGGAAAGGTCGGGCCTATGGGTGCGACCTCTGGGCTATCAAAACATGGGTCTAAACCGAAAATCGTTACAAACGCTGCAGTCTAAGGATCGCGTGAATAGTAAGTCATATCAAGTGTTGTCACAAATGAATAGACGACCCGATTATGAGATGCTGAAGGAGTCGGTGGTTGAGTGCGAACCACATGAACCTACCCACCCGGCCAACAATGACTGCACAACTGAGTTGTGTTTGTTTAACATACGGGACGACCCGTGCGAATACCATAACCTGATTGGGGTATCCTGAATAAGTTTCCAGTCGTACCACCGAATGGCCGATATAT